GAAATGGCTCCAGACAATGTTGTTGTCGAGACCACCACCTCACGCCCCGGGGGGAAAGTTGTCGAAATGGTGGGGGGGGAGAGAGAAGGTTGGGGGGTGGCTTACGTCCCCAACCCTCCTCCCCACCACCTCGTCGTCACCCCCTTCATCGTTAAGGCCCCATCGTCCCCCTACTCTCTCTCTCTCCTCGTCATCGTCACAGCTCTCCTGACTTACTCAACCCGGGCCAGCGGACTACGAGCATCTTCTCCTGGGCCCCCAACCTGTCCAAATGTCAGTCATGGGCTGCTGACGACGACACGGCCTGCTGCTGACGACGACACGGCCTGCTGCTGACGACGACACGGCCTGATGCTGACGACGACACGGCCTGATGCTGACGACGACACGGCCTGCTGCTGACGACGACACGGCCTGCTGCTGACGACGACACGGCCTGCTGCTGACGACGACACGGCCTGCTGCTGGCGACGACACGGCCTGCTGCTGGCGACGACACGGCCTGCTGCTGGCGACGACACGGCCTGCTGCTGGCGACGACACGGCCTGCTACTGGCGACGACACGGCCTGCTACTGGCGACGACACGGCCTGCTACTGGCGACGACACGGCCTGCTGCTGGCGACGACACGGCCTGCTGCTGACGACGACACGGCCTGCTACTGGCGACGACACGGCCTGCTGCTGGCGACGACACGGCCTGCTGCTGGCGACGACACGGCCTGCTGCTGACGACGACACGGCCTGCTACTGGCGACGACACGGCCTGCTGCTGACGACGACACGGCCTGCTGCTGACGACGACACGGCCTGCTACTGGCGACGACACGGCTTGCTGCTGGCGACGACACGGCCTGCTGCTGACGACGACACGGCCTGCTGCTGACGACGACACGGCCTGCTGCTGACGACGACACGGCCTGCTGCTGACGACGACAGAAGTCGTCTTGACACGGAGTAAAGGTGGTGGTGGAGGGGAAGGGATGGGGATTTAAGCTGCCATAATTCATACCAGCTCAGTTGGAACTATGACTCAGCCCGCCGGCCAGTGTCACTTACTCATGATACTGGTGAACAACCACTAAGCCAACCTAATCTCCCTCAATTGTGTGTGAATGAGGAACGTCAGGCGCAACCCAGTAGGGGGCAGGGAGGGAGAGGGAAGGGCCTCCAGGCGATACACACCAGAATGATAAATATCCGAGATAATTCTCAAGACACTTGAAGGCGGTCCTTGTGTTTAATTACATGTTGAAATCCACCCGTTTTTTTTGTAATTTTTTTCGCAATATGAAGGGTTGCTTGCGCATGCGCGTGGAGGAGTGAGTCACGTCAGCCCCCCTCCCCACCCCCCCCCCCTGTCAGGTAGACCGCCAGTGCTGGCCTCAAACGGTCGAAAATCCTGCTTTTGTATTTTATAAAACAGACCTTATTGCTTTTTGCGGCTTGGTCTCCTGTTGGCCAGGCGCCTCTTGTGCGGCGGTGAGGCATGAGCGGGAATATTGTGACAGTCTGGTTACGTGTGCACCGGGGGCTTATTTTAGCTCTCCTTGAACCGCTGCCGTGAGAACCCCCGCTTGGCGGACCGCCGTAGAACCGCACACGTCACGTGAGATATCCGCCACGTCAAGAGAGTGAGAGTGAGTGTGAGTGAGAGTGAGTGTGAGTTATGTGTGTGTGTGTGTGTGTGTGTGTGTGTGTGTGTGAGGGAGGACAACGCTGCAACCTGCGCAGCCTGTTATCCTGCGCAGCCTGTTATCCTGCGCAGCCTGTTATCCTTCGCAGCCTGTTATCCTGCGCAGCCTGTTATCCTGCACCTCAAATTTAACACCCCTGCCTCCAGCCCTTCTTCCCCTCCCCCCCATGCCCCCCCCCACACGCCCCCCCCCTTCTCCATCCCAGACACCAAGTGTAAATATTTACCCATGACTCACTGCCAGGAAGCGTGTGCTTGCGTGTGTTCGTGCCTGCCTGGCCGCCGGGGCAGATGAGCGTGCGTGCGTGCGAGCGTGCGTGTGTGTGTGTGAGTGCGTGCGTGCGTGTGTGAGCATGCACACAGCGTGGAGTGCTTACTTTGATGCACTCTTGTGCGTGTGCTTGCACGCTCCAGTTTCACATTATAAGTCCGGAGGTTTCCAGCAGACGCCTGCTTGAGGTAGTGTCTGATGCCGTCACCTCCTTGCTCCTGTCTGCTGGGCCGTTTACAGCAGACCGTACACCCCCCCCCCCCCCGATTCCTGCCTTGTGCTGAGAGGTCTGTATCTGTCTATCTCTGTCTGTCTCTCTGTCTCTCTCTCTGTCTCTCTCTATGTCTCCTCTCTGCCATATGTTCCATCACCTCACACACACACACACACACACACACACACACACACACACACACACACACAATCACCTGTTGATTGACGGTTGAGAGGCGGGACCAAAGAGCCAGAGCTCAACCCCCGCAAACACAACTAGGTGAGTACAACTAGGTGAGTACACACACACACACACACACACACACACACACACACACACACACACACACACACACACACGTGGCGTCCCACAGGGCTCTGTACTCGGTCCTATCTTGTTTCTGATATATGTAAATGATCTCCCGGAGGGTATAGATTCATTTCTCTCAATGTTTGCTGACGAAGAAGACCTAGACAAGCTGAAGGAATGGTCAAACAAATGGTTGTTAGAGTTTAACCCAACCAAATGCAATGTAATGAAGATAGGTGTAGGGAGCAGGTGGTCAGATACTAGGTATCATCTGAGAGAGGAAATTCTTCAAGAGTGAGAGAAAAACACTTGGGGGTTGACATCACGCCAGACCTGTCCCTTGCAGCCTATAGCAAAAGGATAACATCAGCGGCATATGCCAGGCTGGTCAACATAAGAACGGCATTCAGAAACTTGGGTAAGGAATCATTTAGAACTTTGTATACCACATGTGTCAGGCTAATCCTGGAATATGCAGCCCCAGCATGGAGTCCATATCTAGTCAAGGATAAGACTAAACTGGAAAAGGTACAAAGGTTTGTCAACAGGACTATTACCCGAGCTGAGAGGTATGAGCTACGAGGAGAGACTACGAGAATTAAACCTCACTTCGCTGAAAGACAGAAGAGTTAGGGGGGACATGATCACCACATTCAAGATTCTGAAGGGAATTGAGAGGGTAGATAAAGACAGGCTATTTAACACAATGGGCACACGCACTAGGGGACACAGGTGGAAACTGAGTGCCCAAATGAGCCACAGAGATATTAGAAAGAACTTTTTTAGTGTCAGAGTGGTTGACAAATGGAATGCATTAGGAAATGATGTGGCGGAGGCTGACTCCATACACAGTTTCAAGTGTAGATATGATAGAGCCCAATAAGCTCAGGAACCTGTACACCTGTTGATTGACGGTTGAGAGGCGGGACCAAAGAGCCAGAGCTCAACCCCCGCAAGCACAATTAGGTGAGTACACACACACCAAGCCACAAACACAACTCTCACACACACACACACACACACACACACACACACACACACACACACACACACACACACACACACACACACACACACACACACACACACACACACACACACACACACACAACCCACAACCACACACGCCTCAGTATATCACTTGGTGTCAGTAAGCCTGGCGGGACCGTCCAACACCACCACCCCAGGTCACAGTCTCCTCAGTGTAGGCTGGTATGAAACATCACACATTAAGGATGACTGTGGTGCCTGGGCCCCGCCTTGAAGGGGCCCTGTAGCAGTAGCAGCAGCTGGTGCAGGGGTGACGCCATGGTGTGGGCCCCCGGCGGTGGGTGGGCATGGAGTAGGGGGAGTGGGGGCAGAGACCCCGTGCCCAAGCATAGAGAACTGAGCCGGGTAATACCCTGTTGTCGCTGCCCCTGGTTGCTTAACACGCCTGCTCCAGCATATATGTGTGTGTGTGTGTGTGTGTGTGCATTTACATGCGTGCGTGTGTGTGTTTATTTACTATCTCTATTTACTACTAGTACCTGTAGGTTCGAGCTGTTAGCTCTTGGACCCCGCCTTAGCGTCTGTTGTCTGACTTGCGACCTATCATATTTACAACCTATATTTCTCTCTCACGCGCGCACACATTCCCAGGAAGCAGTCCGAAGCAGTCGTCTAACTCCCAGGTACCTATTTACTGCTAGGTGAACAGGGGCATCAGGGTGAAAGAAACTGTTCATTTGTTTCTGCTTCGGCCTGGAATCGAACCCCGGGCCCATAGGCTACAACCCCAGAGCGCTGCCCACTCGGCCGCTAGGCCCTGTGTGCGCGTACATACTCACCTAGTTGTGCTTGCGGGGCGAGTTGTGCTCCCAGCTTTGTCTCTTAAGAAATGTTTTCCTAAATTTACTTTCATATTTTGAATCCACACTGGGGCTATACATAGGCCTACGTGTCACACTGGGACTATACATAGGCCTACGTGTCACACTGGGACTATACATAGGAAATGGCCTCGTTCTTTTAATTGTCTCGACTGACCTTATTTGCTACTGAAGCACTGAAGCTACAAAGTTTATATATATATATATATATATATATTTATATATATATATATATATATATATATATATATATATATATATATATATATATATATATATATATATATATATATATATATATATGTGTGTGTGTGTGGACAGGCCTATCATATCTTCCCTAGTACTAACCTACAGGCACAAAAGTAGAGTTACCTGAACTGTACACTAACTCTTGCCAGTGCCGGGAACAGCCTTGTCGCAAGTCTAGTGTGGAGCAACAGCCGTACAAAGAGCCACCATCAAGTCAAAACATCAACCCCAAACCAGTCACAGCCGCCGCTCCTGTGGCAGGCAAGTCCACTACGGGACTTGCCTGGCACAGGAGCGGCAAGCAGCCATAGCCTGCGCTGCTCGCAACTCCCCCCCCCGTCCCGCGCAGCTGAATCTAACCCAACATCAACACACAAGAGTAACACTCACCTGGGTGTGGTCCGGTGGGGCGGACGTACAAGGGCCAGACGCTCCCTCAGACGCTGGTCACGGTGGGCGCGGGTAGGCAGCTCCTTCCCGCCGCCGCCGCCCTCGCTCTCTGCCACCACACAATACATATATTAACACATATATAGCCGCCATTTCGCCAGTCCTGAGGGCCAAGAAACGCCAGTCAAGCATTCCTTGATTGGTGGCCTCTCTCAGCTCCAGGCCCAGCTGAGGAGTCCTTCCTCATGTATAATGATACAGCCCTGGGGTATATGATACAGGATACACTATCTCTGTGTATATTTAAAGAACATTCTGTATTATTCCTATTAACCTCCACAAGCACAACTACGTGAATACACACACACACACACACACACACACACACACACACACACACACACACACACACACACACACGGATTAAGAAGAGTTGTGACAGATAAGGATTGTTGGATCCTCCAAGAGGACTTGAACAGGTTGCAGAGATGGTCAGAGAAATGGCTACTGGAGTTCAACACGAGCAAATGTAAAGTCATGGAAATGGGATTAGGTGATAGGAGACCAAAGGGACAGTACACAATGAAGGGGAACTGCGTACCTGTGACGACTCGAGAAAGAGACCTGGGCGTGGACGTAACACCTAATCTATCTCCTGAGGCACATATAAATAGGATAACAACAGCAGCGTACTCTACACTGGCAAAAGTTAGACCATCATTCAGAAACCCAAGTGAGAAGGCATTTAGGGCGTTTTACACTGCCTACTTGAGACCAGTCTTAGAGTATGCCGCCCCATCATGGAGTCCCCACCTGAAGAAACACATAAGGAAACTGGAAAAGGTTTAGAAGTTTGCGACGAGGCTCGTCCCAGAGTTACGAGGGATGGG